AGGGGGGGATTGGAAGGAGGGGTGTATTATTATGTGTGTGGGGGGGATTGTAATGGGGGGGGGAGTCCCCTATTAGGGATGCCACCTGTCCAGGATTCACCCGGACTGTCCTGGTTTTGAATGCCATGTCCAGGTTTCATGGCAGCAGAAACAGTGACACAAGATGTCTGCCTGACAGGGGCAACCAAAATTAAGATAGGGGCTACTGGCCCCCCACTGAAAATAGTCTCAACTGTGATATTTACATATGAATGCGCTGCGACTCATTCTCCCAAGTAAATGTCAGCGCATCGCTAGAGTGTTCGGGTTTCGCTTGGAGAAAAGGTGGCAACCCTATCCCCTATATTTCAGGTGCGATTAGGGATTCCTGTGTCACAAACTTCAGTTTTCCTGCAGCAGGAATCCCTAATCTGGCGTTACATGCAGCAACTGTCACCAATTCAAATTAATGATCGGGTGACAGCTGCTGCATATACACGCCTGCATACCGCATGCAATCGTATGTGATATGATTATAAGCAGTTACAAAAACAATCACGCTCCCTGGATACACAGTTGTGTATCCAGGGATAGTGACAGATTCCTAAAGGTGCCCATACACTGTACGATTCTCGTACGAGAATCGCGGGAAATCCCGCGATCGTACGAGAATCGTACAGTGTATGGAAGGCGTGCGACCGTTTCTACTGTACGGTCGCACGTCTTCCATCGAACAAGCAGGCTAGAAAACCCGCCGGGAATCGTACGATTCTCGGCGAGTGAGTGGCCTGCTTGTTCGACAACTGACGAACGGGCCGGTGTGCGCACGCGCACACTGCCCGTTTGCCGTCCTCGCAAGCCCGCCCCTCATTGCAGTCATCGCAAGTACGATCTGTCTGTCCAAGATGGGCAGATCGTACGTTTTTTTAAGTACTTTACAACCATCGCAAGACTAAGGTCTTGCGATGGTTGTACAGTGTATGGCCACCTTAACTGCATGTTATGCTTTCACAAATGATTACATGCGGTGTGCAGGTGTGTACATGCAGCAGCTGTCACCCGATCATTAATTTGAATCGGTGACAGTTGCCGCTTGTAACATGTGCATACATTAAAACTGGTATCGTATATAGTGGCGGCCCCCACGGGTCTAAAAAATGTGTCCAGTGGCCCCCGACTAAATTGAGTTTGAGACCCCTGCTCTAGAGGAAAAAGAGCAGTTAACCCTTGCAGTGCTGGGGTAGCCCCACTGCAAGAGTAATTTTTTCTGAAACCTGGAGTTCTTCTTGAATTGAGCACAGGCAGAGGTTAGCAAGGGTTAAAGAATACAGGCACTGGTGGAAAGGGTTAAATAATTCACACCACTGGGAGAAAAGGCTTAAAATGCACAAACCTAGAAGGAAGGGTTAAATTACGCACATAGGAAAAAGGGTAAATAACGCACACACATTTGGTAGAGAGGATGACAAATTAGCATAACAAATAGCCATAGCAAAAATAAAGGGTTACATAATGCACAGAGTAGGGAAAAAGATTAAATATTTTTTACAGGGAGGAAGAAAAGGTTAAAATTCACAGTGGACATACAGGGTTAAACAAGGCCAAGAGCAAGGAAAAAAAGAGGCACGCAGGAGCTTCTGTGACGTGTGCATTCTGTAGGTAGGGGGATGCTTGCCATCATTCATGCAAACCCCGGAAAATAGCACTGCTTCCATACTGTCTGAATTTCCTGGATGTGAGATGTTGGCTGTTGCTGTTACATTTCTTCCCTCTGGCATGAGAGAGTGTTCACCTATCCCTACCCCAAATAACATACTGCAGATAAAATGCACAATATTTAGTTGATGTGCTGCAAGATAAACAATTAGTGAATTGATTTGCCGTTTGTGCTTGATATACCACATGATATTTTATTTAAACAAAAAGCAACTATGATCAGGGAGGTACTT